CATCTTAAAGTGGCCAAGTTTGGACAACACTGATTTAAAGGGTGACCAACACTGTCTCTAATACTACTTAACATACACACTATACAGGGTCAAAAGCCTTTTTATTGCTTCATAGTTTTGAAAAAAGGGTGCAACAAAGCATCCTTTGCAGTGATTCTTGTAGCAGGATTTAAGTCCAGTAGTTTATCAAGCAGATCATAGGCGCTATTAGGAATTTTGTCCCATCCTTTGAGATCAGATGGCTTTTGTGTAGTTTTCTTTTCCCTACCATCATCTTCATGACCACTTTGTTTTTGATACATGTGCTTTTTGGATGTTTGAAGGGCAGAATCTGAAGCGTTGCCTATTCCAGCTGGTAAAGCAAATTCCTGAGAAGGGTTGACCTGTATGTCACCTGCTGAGTTGTCAAAGTTGGTGTTTTTTCCCCTCAGCCTTTCACAGAGCTTCCTTAAATCCTGTGCTGGAATTTCTTTGCTACACAGTATTGATTTACCTAAATGAAAAGCACTTGTTAGAATGTTCTTCAGAATGCACAGCCATTTTCAGCAATATGGACTAACCCTGTAACACAGACTCTGAATATTGTACATGTATTTATTAAGTACAGCAAGGCTATCAAAAGTTGCACTAGCTGGTTCCTTAGTGGAACCAAGTGTTTAAAGGTGAAAAACTGATTTTCCTGTTCCAAATTTTACATATACAGATTTGACACTTGAGATTCATCTTCCATACTGCTATTTTGCAGGGGAATACAGAACAGCACATCTCTATACATCCTCACCTCTTTTAAGACACACACAAAGAGAAACACAACACATCCCTCATGACCGTATGTAGTTTCTGGGACAAGTGAGTGATGCTGTCAAATTGTTGGGTTGATTGTCCTGCACATGTTGGCCCCACTGTGCATGACCATGAAGACAGAGTAGCCAAGCCTCAACTCAGCCAGACCAATACTATGCGGTTCATGACTGCACTCACCTCATCAACCAAAAGCCCTTGAAACTGTGCTGCTTGAAATGGATGTGCTTTGTCTCACAGCCTAGACAAAGTAGCCTTTTTATTCTGTACCTGACTTAGACATGCAAGCTTTGTTCTGAGCATGGAACTCTCAAATCAGCTGTTTCAAGCTCAAAACTATTTTGCACTACCCTCTGAAGGAAGAGGCAGAAGGCTGTTTGAGTGTGTCTACTGAGCACCTCTAATATTAGAGATGTAGAAGACAGTACAAGGAGACACAATACCCAAGGCACATAAGCAGGGACCTGACTGCCACTAGCACCCATGAGTCTGTACTTTTTGTTGTTGTTTTGATGGACATGAGAGAACCTATAAACCTTTTAATTTGGTGAAAAGTCCCTATCCCCACATATCTGAAATGTATTTAAATAGAACTTATGTGGCAGAAAAATTAGCACCGGCACCGTGGATGTGCTTTCATTTTATCTATTTCATTTTCACTGTAATACCAAATGCATACTATGTTTACTGAATTGCTGATTTTGCCTTAATAGGCTTTTGTTGGTAAAACTAACATTTTCCCTTAGTCATGATCTTTTATTGTGATAAATTGATGTTTAGCACAAAATATTTTGTGCAAATCACTCTGGATAATCAGCAGATAACTAAAACTAAACAATGTAGATAGAACAGCTTGGGAAATGAGGAACTTCATGCTGGTGGAGCAATCTGGGGAGTTGAAGTCCTCATTTCTGTAGTGTCTCTGTTGGAGAGTGCTACTATTGAGAAATGCAGCAAAGAGAAGTCTCTGGTTAGAATTCTAAGGAAGGAGAATGTGAATAAAGTGGAACAGAGATCCGAGCAAAAGGTGATTCAAAGCCAGTGTAATATTGACTGGAATTAATTAGCCACATATTTGCTTGAAGCCCTTTCATTTCACAGATTGGATGCCTCTGATTTGATTGTATGTGTATGTTTCCTATGGGATTATTTAGAAGCCATGAAACTGATTTAAGGTAATTTGATCCTGACATTTAGATGAATGAATTCCAATGCTATTTCATCTGAAGTTATGTACGAATCCATGAACATAATCCTAATTATCTACATATAGACAAATAATAATAAAGCTAGTTACAAACAGATTAGAAAAAGAATTACGAAACCTGCATACCAAATGTTTTAGCAGCTTGAATAGTTTCTCTGGAGCCACGAATCGTCATGATCTGGGCCAAAGCTGTTAAGTCATCACTAGCCTTGTAAAATGGATACCGGCCACTCAGCAGAGAAAGAAATATAATTCCTGCAGACCACATGTCAATTGCTGCAATTAAAAACAAGACTTTAGTAACAGTGACTAGTCATTCCAGTTTATTCCCAGTGTTATAAAAACTGAGGAGTAGAAAGAGAAGTATATAAAAGCATTCTTTTATATACTTCAGTGTAAGACTGCTGTCTTCCCAAGATTTCTTTAGCTTTTCATATTTTATGGTCTTTCCCAAATAAACTTCAGGGAAAACCAAGCTAGGACAAAGGTTCTGCAATAATACCTTATAAATATTCAGTGCAATTTATGAAAAGAAAAAGGTAGAATAAGCCATTGTGGAAGGATCAGTGAAGGAACTACTTCACACTTAAAGTTACATTTGCTCTTCTTTTATTGCAAAATATTTCTGATAAGCCTGAATTTACATGATTTTTTTCAAGAGGAAACTTGGGCTCCTCACTATCCGTTCCATCCCAATATATCCTAAATGTATTGATCCTAAAAAGACATCAAATTATAGTTTCAGCAGCAGAAATTCTTTTTGTTTGTTTTAAAAACATCCTACAGACTTCAGAATACCCTGATTGAAGGAGCATCAATCTGGACGAAAAGGTTTTCTGAGAGATAGTTGGTAGTAATATTAATACACCAAAAATGCTTAAGTTCCTCATCTGACAGAGTTTCCCTCTGCTTAAAAAGATTAAATAGTTTTTGTCAGCTTGTAACTTTAAAAAAATTTGCTTGCAAGAATATTATGTTAATTATGCTTGCTCTAAGATAGCATGTTAATGGATATTGCATATAAACAGGGCTTTTAAAAATTTAGCACAAAGCTAAAATTGTTTGAACTTTCTATTTCTCCTTTGTTTAAAATAGAAATGTCATAGTAAACATTTCAGATAAAGCTAGTTTCCATATAAGGTTCTTATTCTGGCTAACAAGTTTTAATAAAGGAACATTTTAACAATGTTAACAATTCCTTTAAAGAAACTTTGATGATTTAAAGAAACATGGATCTAGAGCATAAAAGTAGCTAGTGTAAGCTTGATTTACTGTACCTGTAGTTTGATTAGGGCACTTAGTTAATACTTCTGGTGCTCTGAATCCAGGAGTTCCAGCCCTTGGGGCAACCTGCTGACGTCTTGGGGTTAAATAGGAAAGAAAAAATTAGAAAGTAATAGCACAGAATTTGAACATTCCATAGTCAAAGTACTATCTGGATCAGGCCTGCACTACTCATTGAGGGCAAAGGGCGACATGGATAAATTAAAAATCCTTGTGAGCCACAAGGTAATAACTGGAATGCTGATCAGCTGCTCTGCGGCTAGGGGAGCCGTGGAAGTGCTGGAGCTAGCAATGAGGCTTGGCGGTACTTGGCATGATGTCTTTTGGGGTGGTGGGGGTGGCTGTAAATTTACTACTTTTAAAAAAATGCCGACAGGCTGCACATGGCTGCTTGGCAGATCACATGCGGCCTGTATGTTGTATGGGCCTGATCCAGGATATACTTTTATATGGTGACATTAATAAACATCTAGCAAGATAACAGAACAGGCCTCCAGTGTGTTGTGATTACAACTCCAGAATTCCCTGCCAGCACAGTCAAAGGCTAACTTGGAAGCCTGAAAATTAAACCAACACACACCATGTTAGGGAAGGTGGTTCTAATATCTTACTTTCTGGCTGAAACGTTTTTTAAAAATTAAACTATATGCTTACTTTTGCTATACTGGGCATACCTATAGATACAGCTTACATTTCTTTACATAATAGTCATGACTAGAATTGCAAAAGGATTTATCTTGTAGTCATATCATTATGATTCTAGAGAACCTATTTATTTAAACTTATCCCACAGATCTTAGATGTTATTTTTACTCGTTGCTAGCAGGATTGTTCTTTTAATAGTTATATGAACTTTCTAGCTGGTACTAACTAAATCAGTTTACATGGGAAGGAATAACAAATAGATAATAAATCTACATTATGCCTGTGCATTCTATATCTAACACCCTCCCAAACTGACACGGCTATAATGCAGAAACGGAAGGGCCCAAGTGTTAGTTGGTGCTGGGAATTCTTGCACTGAAAGTGTACACCATTATGAAATCATGTGTGTGAACTAAGACTTTGATATTTTTTTCCACTGTTGCATTTCAAGGTTCTAACCCTACCACATGCTTACTAAACCCACTGTCTAATTTATCCATATTTTTAATACTGCTTGTCAGCAGAGAGATTGCTTTTACTGCATCAAAAACTAATTACCTTGAAAGACAAACGCTGCAGACACTATCTTTTGCATAACAGTCACAGGTCAATTTAGCTGAAGTACTGCTGGCAGTTTTCTTGCCTAAACCATTATTCACAACTGAAGTTGTCTTCTTCTTCACCGACAGTTTCCTAACTGGAATATCCATTATCCTGGGCTGCTTTATGAGCAGTAAAATAGAAGTTGTATTTTTAGTACAAGGCATACTCAAAGCATTTTGACTATAGATGTTCTTTAAGAAATAAAAGTTGTAAAGACAGCTTGAAAAATTCACAAGGCTTACTGTCAACTAATCCCAATGGCTAATAAACATAGCAAAGTATTTCAAGAATTCAAATGTAGTGGGATTTAAGAAAAATTAGACATTTTAGTTTATAACATTAATATTTAGAATATAGATTTATGAATGATATCGCCTTAATTCAATCTGCAAGTGAACAATATGCAAAATGAAAATTATGGAGAATTGAACCGGTGCTCAAAGGGGTTGTTGCCCAAAGCAGCATTTCTGTCTCAAGTTCTATCCTCCTATAGAAAAATGTAAATATGGAAGATAGAACATGTCATAATACCATGCATTTTCCTGACCCTGCTACAAATTACATATTATCTCACACGTGACTATATTTTAACATTAAGAGGTGAGGAGAGGAAATGTCATGTAAGAATTGTTTTTGTAGCAACAACATACTTATTATAAAGTGTACTTCAGTCCTAACTTGTGGCAAAACTGTCTCATTAAGATTTAAAGTAATCAAATTAGAACAAAAAGGAACTAATTTAATTCCATCTGACAAAAACGTGTTTGCTCAGAAACAACTTTTATTCATAAAATAAATGACTACCTGATTTAAGAGGCTATTATTTAATGTTAATGTTAATGCTGTAACACTGTCAGATACACCCATTCTTTATTACTTTAAAAAAAAAAAATACACATTGCTTTCATTCATTATCTGCATCATGACAGAAAGCAGGACAAAAGGAGTACTTTTTTTAAACGTAATTTTTATTAAGAATTTTAACAATACTAAAAGATAATACAAAATGAAATTAATGAAAGAAAAAAAGAGAAAAGAGAAATATAAAGAAAACATAGAGTGCAGAAAATAAAGCAGGAAAGGGGAAAAAAAAGGAGCAAAAAGAAAAAGATATTTAAAGAAGTGACTTCCAATCTGCTTTACAGCAGTTACAAGCAAATTTGATCTCTTCCCTTCTCCTTTGAAATTACATTACATGAATCATTTCTTCCTATGTCCCGACCTTTTTCAATCAACAAATCCAAAAATCATTAACAGTTCTTTCCGATTTCTGCAAAAAGTCCATAAAGAGTTTCCAGTATTTTATAATTATTATCTTATCCCTGATAAAATAAGTCATTTTTTTATTCTTTTCTCTTATGCCATATTCTGACATTCTTGAGCCTTGACTTTAAAATGTTGTCAGAGGACCTGATCTCCATCCATATCTTCCTCCTCCCATCCCAAGCGTTTTTAAAGCTTCAACAGCCCTCTACTGTTTTCTCCAAGTTGTTCTGTAAATATTCTTGTTTTCAAAGATTCTTTCTCTTGTAAATCCAGTATTAATCCATTATCTATATCACTTTCCATATCATGACTTAATGTTTGTATTTCCTCTCTGTTTACTATCTCTGATGTTTTCCAAAGTTTCTGTTTTGTTTTCCAACATTTCCACCTTAACTTTAATTTGATTTGGATTTTTACTCAATTGTCCTGCAAATTTTCCAGAATTATTTTTCATCTCTTCTTTTATCTTTTCATTCAAATCTCTTTTGAATGATGTATTCACATAAGCATTTATGGATGTTGTTATTGTAGCTGTAACATTCTTTCCCAGCTCTTCAAAAATCTTTTGGAACGTCTCAAGTGTAATACCTTTTTCTGTATGTTTTACAACTTTTGTTCATTTCTGTATGTTTTACAACTTTTCTAGTAACAGCCATTTCATCAGGTAGAAAAATAAAAGTAAAAGAGGGCCTTTCTCTCTCTCTCTTTTTTCCGCCTTTCTATAATCCTTAAATCTTTGGTCCCTTCTGACACTCCATAATTCTATGGTCGCATTTATCTCTTTATTTTGCAAAGTCCACCAATCGCCTCTTCAGTAAAACTCTAAACAATTTACATCCCCACAAAGCGGGGGATTTTTATACCACTTTTATTTATTTAATTATTTCAAAAACACTAGAACAAAAATCATAGTATTTCAAAACTGACTGGCCTCTTAGTCCATTTTAAACTTTTTAAAGTTAAATTCTTGTCAAGCTGTTTGCTGTTGAACCTAAATTCTTTAAATTATTATTTTACTCTTTTCTTTAATCTTTAATCTGGAATGAAGGATCACTCACCAGGTGGGTTTTTTCCCGCCTGCTGCTCCAAAGATCTCTTAGCTATAAAATACCTAAAATCCACATGTGCTTAAGAAAGTGAAGTTTTAGCGAACCCAATATCCTTATAGGCTCCTCTGTAGCTGTGACCGCAAGAACCTTCAAGTCCTGTGGTCTCCTCACAAGGGGCAGCCGCCCGGAGCACTAGTGGGCAATCTTAATGGCCCCTCTTTGTCCAGAGAAGCCCCGTTGGCCCAGGCTTGTCGCCCGGTCGTCAGTCTTTACTGCAGTGTTGTTTCTGCTCCTTCAGAGACATCTTAGTCTGCCATTCCATCACCCCAAAGTCAGAACAGGTATACTGATTTATTTCATGGATCTGATAATTTTTAATTGCATTAATATATGACTATTTAAAAAAAGAGTTAGATATAAAAACTCACTCAAGAAAACATATTTTTCAAGGCTTTCAAATTACATGGATAAAAAACATTATTACAAATAAAATGCAGTTCCTATTCCCTAACTGCTTAGCAGGAGTCAACCAATCCAGGCTTCAAGTTTTATAAATACAGGTAGTCCTCGGTTAACAACGGTATTTGGGACCGGAATTTCCATTGCTAAGTGATGCAGTCATAAAGCATGATGTCACATGACTGCATCACTTAGCGACAGCAACCTTGGTAGTCCCTGTTGCTATTGTTAACTGAATCCATCTGGCCGTTAGGTGAGGACCCACCCTGATCCAAGCCATTCCTGGCTTGGTCCCTCCAAGCCCCAAGATTTGGTAAGACTGTCTCTTCTTGAAGTCCCACCACCCGTCCCCCCATCTCTGCCTTTTGGCTACCCTGCAGAGTTGGCACTCCTTGGCAGCAGTGGTGACACCGGCAGCTTTGGGGCTGAAGTACAGCCCCAGGGCCTTCAGCACTCAGCCAGCCACCGCTGTCCCTGTGCTTCTACTTCAGCCCCGGCGCCACTGATGAAGCTCCCACCACAGACTCGTTATAAACCCCACACCACAGCCAGCTGTCCCAATGAAAAGCCTCAGCCGCCCATGCTGCTGGGCTGATGCAGGGCAGCAAGGCCGGCAGAGTGCAGGGCGGCCAAAAGGGGAGAGATAGAGGGGAGATAGGCAGGTGTGGGGAGTTGAAGCACCCCTGTAGTTTTAAAAGCGGGTGGGCTGCCAAGTGTCCAAATGTTGATTATGTGACAGCAGGGGCACTACAACAGCTGTAACTTTGGGCCTGGGCATAACTACCATTTGTTCAGCACCACCATTAACTTCGAAAGTGTCGCTGAATGAATGGTTGTTAACTGAGGACTACCTGTACCTCTGAATATGCAGTAGATTTATTTGTGATAACAAACAACACTTACTCTAACTGTGGAACGGGCTTGAAATGCTGAGCTTCGCACATTGAAATTTCTCTCCCCAAAAACCGAACGCTGAACAGAACGACACTCTGGATCCTCCTGTGATGTCAAGAAAGGACAATAAGGATTTTATCGCTAATGCAGCATCAGTAGCAACATATCTTTTAAGTTTTAAGATGAGCAAACATTGAAACCAAATTACTGTATTTTATCAGTTATCCTGCTTTTACTCAGGAGTTCACAGCAGAATATATAGTGCTTCATCCTCCCACTTTTCAACAACATCCCTGTGAGATAGTGGAAGATTAGCATGGTTTTAAAACTGGAAGAAGAAACATCAATAACCTGAACTATGCTGATGACACTACCTTGATAGCCAAAAATGTAAAGGATCTGCAAGTTCTAGTAATAAAAGTCAAGGAGCACGGTGAAAAAATCGGACTAAAATTAAATAAAGATCAAACTAATAACAGGAAGAACAAGAAGCCTTAACATTGGCAATGAAAGTATTGAAGTGGTGGATAGCTTCTGCCTTTTAGGATCAACCATCAACAGTAAAGGAACAAGCAGTCAAGAAATACACAGCAGACTAGCACTTTGTAGAGCAGTCATGAAGGCCTTGGAAAAGTTACTGAAATGCCTTGATATGTCTATACCTACAAAGATCAGAATTGTGCGAGCCATGGTACTTCTGATGACGCTCTATGGAAGTGAAAGTTAGACTCAAGAGTAAACTAGTATTGATGCTTTTGAACTTTGGTGTTGGAGAAGACATCTAAGAAACCATGGAGAGCCAAGAAAAAAAACAAATGCATCATTGAACAAATCAACCCAGAGTTCTCACCCAAGACACAAATGATCAGGCTCAAGTTATCCTACTTCAGACACATTATGTGAAGACCTAGCTCTCTGGAGAAGGCTCTAATATTGGGAAAGGCAGAAAGAAAGAGAAGAGAAGGACCAGCAGTAAGGTGGATAGACTCAGTTACAGTGGCGATGAATGCACTGTTGGAAAAGGACCAGCTAAGGTCAGATCATGAAAAAAAATCTATGTGGTTGCTAAGTGTTGACACTAATTTGATGACACATAATCAATCAATCTGTGAGGTAGACTAGGCTGAGAAACAGTGCCTGGGTCAAAGTCATCCAGTGAGCTACTGGGATTGAGATGGATCAGAACCCGTGTCACCCCAGTGTCAGTATAACAATTTAACCACTACACCATAGGCAAAACAGGAGCTTGGCTTCCAAGCCCATATTAGGTTGGTCAGATATTGCCACCTGCTGAGACAAACACTATATTCATTCAGTCTAATGCTTGGAGCAGTATACTTTAGTATGGAGAGGTATGTAATGGAAGACAGATCCAGATTTTTTTTATTCTGTAGTAACTCATCTGGAACCCATTAATTTGGCAATACACTCATATGAACATTGTGTAAGAATAATTATTCCAGAGTAATGAAATCCAATTTTGTGTGATGTCTGATACTGATGTCTTTTCAATATTTCATATAAATACAAAGACTCTGAAATAGAATGAAATATTATTCTGGTATTATATCTCCCCCTGTTGGATAAAGTTACTTATTAGATAAATTCATCCAGCAAAATTATGGAAGAAACACAGAACCTTTCTTTTGTGTCCTTGTTTAATCTGTGTTTGTGAAATGGAACAAAGCCTTTTATTAGCTGTTTTTGTTGCTGAGTGATGAACTGGCTGCCTAGATGTTGGGGAAGTAACCTGGCTTTCCAGAGTTATCAGAGGCTTATTGTATGTACAACTTTTTTGCTGAGTTTCAGACTGAATAACTTTGAGAAGATCCACTTTTGTTTCAGGAGTTCCTTGTGCCAAGCCAAAGTCAACCAGAGCATACCTGAAGATAATTAAAAATACAAACAGTTAATGATGATACTCACTTTTGTGGGATCAGAATTAACAACTTCTTCCTTGTTTAATACTATTCAGATATAGAAAGTACATAAATGCAATTTATATTGTATTACATTTAATATGCATATTTGATAACAGAATGAGAATCACAAACTGAAAAACTATGTGTGCTAGATATGGCAACATTGATTTGGAAATTTACCAGGGAGAAAGTACCTGGTAGACCATTAGTTCAATATTTCTTCTCCCATCTACCATGAATACTTGATTTTTCTGAGATGTTCATGACCCTATTATTTTTACTAAATATGTTATTAAACTTAATATATTTACAACATCCTCCCATATAAGATCATAACATATACAAGCTTGGCCAGACTTACTGTTGTAGTTGCCTGTTGTATAGGAAATTACTGGGCTTGACATCACGATGAACGATACCAAAGTGATGAATGCGCTTCAAAGCTTTCAAGAGGTTAAACATGTAATTTCTTACTTCTTCAAATGAGAGAGAATTCAAGATGTCCTGTACAAAAGTTGTAATAAGTAAGTGTGCAATAACTTGCAATCAAGCACTTTTAAATCTTTTAATAAAAGGAATTTAAAACTCACCAAAAATGATTCGTGTTCCAGATAAGGCATAACAATTACCACGTGATCATTTTTTCTAAAACAATACTTAACTCCCATGACATTATCTTGCCCCCTTCAAATAAAAAAAAGTCCTCTCACAAAGAGAGAACATAGTATTGTTAGCAAGTTATGTTACAACAGATCTTTTCTGAACAATGTTTCATTTTACTTTAAGGAAAGTCATTGCATACTAAGTGTTCCATTGCTGACATGCAGAGAACAAGATTATCAAAACAGCTGTATCAAAAACTTGGCTGCAGGGCAATGTCTTTGCTAGATTGGGGATGGGTACAAAATATATAAATTGCAGATTTAGAAAAATGTCATTTTTCAAAACCACATTTGTAGGACACTTCAAAATCATGAAGCAAGATACAAATTTAAGATACACAAAGATGATTTGAAAAGTACATCAACTATGCTTATATCTGTTGAAAATATTTTCCAAGGGCTGCATATAATGCCCTAAAATACGTGTAGCGAAAAATTTATGTACATTAAGGAAATAGTGGTACCGTCAATTAAACTGGTTATGCAACAATTTTTAAAAATATATTTATATAAACACATACACAGGTCCAGATACTTGGAGCAATAGAATCTAGATTATATTATTTGGCAGTTTTATTTCTTTAAATAATTTTAAGGCATATTACAAACCACCTCACTAGTATACAGTATTAGAATACATGCTGTTCCATGGACCATTTTTGATATATATAATAATGGAATGTTAAATAACAGTAACAAAGTTGGTAGAAGTGAAAATTATTTGAATATATATATATATAGCATAAATCAAAGTAATTTAAATGCCAAGAAGCCCATTGTGAGTCTCCTGGAAATGTAAGATCATTGTATGTTTCTATGTCTACACATACCCTGCTATTATAAGACACTGAAGTTCAGCAGCAATTCGTACAGGATGGCTAGTAGGAATCAAGTGTTTCAAAGCCACTTTTTCTTCATGGCCTCCTCGTAGCTGGCCTATTGCCAAGTAAACAGAACTAAACGTTCCTACAAAATACATACATATGTATATTTAGCAAAAAATTAATAGTTTCCATTTACAAGTAGTAATCAATTTTTTATTTCTATAAACTTTTTGTTTCTGCAAACTACCATATCCTCATCAAAAGCTTTTTGGGTCCTTGAATAAGCCATTTTAAACTTTGTTTTTTTTAAGCACTATGCAATTGCTAGAACATGAGTCCTGTCATTGTGACACATCGTTCAGATGAACTTCTAGGAAGAAAGAAGGTTGTACTCACTATGCTGCAGCTGCACACTTGGATTTTTTTTTTTTAAGTTTAAAGTAACTCACCTGTTGATCTGAAAAACATTTTACCTATTATCAGTTTATTTATTGAGATTTTCCAAGCTTATGGATTTATAAATCTCTTCAAAGTATGGGGCCAGAGAACAGATTCTATGCTATTGCCAGAGAAGGGCATACTAGATTTTCATTTTTTTAAGACAAAGAATCTAATCACATTGGTTTTCTGTATCAAAAATAAACAGAGAGAAGACCAATCCAGTGCCACGTCTACCAAATTCATGCATGTTGCAGGCTCTATCATTCATCCTGAGGTTGTGAAAAGAAATCACCCAACCTAGTTGGTTGATTTGTCTTCCCAAAACAAAGGCAGATGACCAGTTGCCACTTGCAGATACTGACAGTACCTTCACAGAGCTTTATTCCACGAATAAACTGCTGTAAAACAACTTTACTTCTGTAATGACATTACAGTTTCCTAAAGTTTAGGTAAAAGTTTTGAATATAGTTCATGTTGTGATTCAGACAAGATTGGTTATTTATTTAAAAATTTTCATTTTTAAAATCTGCTCTGAGTTAGAGTAAAAAGCATGTTGAAAAAGTAACTAGCTACTTGAAACAATACTTTTCTTCTTTTTCCTTTAATGACATTTTCTTCCCCCTTTAAAATCCTTTCACCTAATTTGAAACTGTTTCAGCAACACAGCTATCTACGTATGTGATACTGTCATAGAACTACTTCCTTGCTCTTCAAGGTTTCTAATCTATCAGAGGTAGGGAAAGGAAAAAAAGAGTACTACAGAAGGAAATTCATGGACAGGTCCTAAGCAAGCAACTGTTTACTTGCCGTGCTCCTGAATAATGTCAAAATAACAGTAAGTACGAAGTTGGGTATCTTGCAACTACCTGCATTGTTCCAGAACCTAGATCAGCCTTAGAGTGGCCGGCCACAAAACTGATTATAGCCTGAAATGGTAAATCCACTACTGGGTAGTTCCACTTCAATTGCAGGAGGGACTCACCTGACTTCATCCTTTTCTTCTCAATAAAGAGAAATCCTTGCATACAGAGAACGAGCATCTTGGACAACTAGTTTATATCCTAGCCTTTTCTAAGACTTTTGGTGGCAGTGGGGAGTATGGGGAAATATTCAGTCATGCAGGATTCCACCTATAGCCTTAAGAGATGCTGCTCACTGCTTATGAATGCTACATCTAAGAGCCAAGAGACATGTTACAATGTGCACTTGCAATTAAAACTTTAAAGCAGTTCCCAGAGGGAGAAAACACAGAATGAGATTCTGAACTATGACATAGAGAACAGGAGATTTAACTCTTTCCTACTTGGTTTTCATTGCAGGAAGGAATATTTTTATGATGCTAAGAAAAGCTATCCATCAGGCAAAATAGCAATAAGGCAGGAACGGCTGAGAAGCTTATTGGTAGGGCAACATGAATGAATGAACGAATGAATGACAAATAAACAAACGTGGCCAAGTTAAATTCTCCCTGTATTCCAAAGCACTGTTAGTCTTCTTCCCTCATTGTTTAAATTTTTAAAATTAGATACATTAATTACAAGGTTTCAGATAATCCAGCTTCTAGTTTGACCCTATCAGGCAAGTAATAATACTGAACTCTAAAAGAATTTATATAAAAAGGGCTTTGGAAAATTTGGACGGATGATCTACAGCCCACTTAACCCTGATTTTAGAAGAACTTTAAAGCAAAATCATATTCACCTTCACCAATTTTCCCTTTTATTTTGAACACATTTGCAAGCTGAGGTACTGCTTGATAAAGCCTTTCAATATCTGTAATTGCTCCTGTGGAGAAATTTTAAAATGAGTCATTTTAAAATTTGAAGTTATTTTCCCTTACTTTTACAGAACTTTTGCAAAGTAATGATTTAATTGTGAAATTTAAAGCATTAGCTGCTGTTCTTCAAGGAGGCGTGGGGAACCTGTGGCCCAAATGCAGCTGCCTAGCATTTCAAAATTAAAAAGTAAAATAAACAGTAATAGGCCAGATTACACTAAACACCATATCTAGTTTATATTACCAACATGCTGAAAATTTATATTGAAGTGTGGCTAATGCATATGGCCATCTGAAATAGATAACTCTGGACTGTGAACAATCAATTTACAAAAAACACAGTATTAAAAAACCCATGACCAGAGTTAAAAATAATCCAGTTCAGAGAAGAAAAACGGAGTATATAACAATATAACAATTTTACAAAATAAACACATACATACATACTGAGCTCCGCTAATATCCTGGCCCTAATGCCTGGGGGAAAAGCCAGATTTTAATAGTCTTCCAGAAGGCCAGGAGGTTTTTTGGGGGCGGAGGGGAGAGATTGTTCCATAGGGCAGGCACTGCAACAGACAAGGCCTTGGTCCCACTAGATCAGTGTTGTCCAAACTTGGCCACTTTAAGATGAGTGGACTTAAAGACATGGCTGGCTGGGGAATTCTGGGAGTTGAAGTCCACTCATCTTAAAGTGGCCAAGTTTGGACAACACTGCACTAGATGATGGTATTGATTAATAGTGGGACTTGGAGCATGCCCACCCTATCAGACCTAGAGGAAACAGTAGAAACACTCAGAGGAAGATAGTCCTGCAGTTTACCTGATACTATGCAATGCAGGGCTTTAAAGGGGATACCAGCACCTTGAATTGTACATGGAAATATACTGGAACCCCACTGCAGCTTGTGCAGCAGTGGTATACACAGGTAAACTTTGGAGTATCCCAAACTGTGTGTGCTTGTTTGAAGCTTCTGAATGTTCTTCGAGGGAAGTCCCATGTACAGCACATTACAGTGATCCAATCAGAAAGCAGCTGAGACATGAGTGACAGCGAGTACAGCCTCCTAGTCCATGAACAGGTGCAACTGGCACCTGAGACTAATCTGTGCAAAGCCTCCCCCCCAGCCAGAGCTGCCCCCTGCTCTTTGAGCAAGAGCTGTAAGTCCAGGAGGACTTCCAGGTTGTGTACCAACTGTCTGGGAGAGTGCATCCCATGACGAAATCACCAGATCCAAGGGACCCAAAAACCCAGAGCCACTCAGTCTTGCCAGGGTTGGGTTGCAACCTGTTTTCTCCCCAACAGATCTTCACACCCTCAAGGCCTGGTAAAGAACCTTAACAGTATCCTTTCTATGGCCTAGGGTGGAAATATATAGCTGAGTTTCATCAGTATACTGACAGTATGTCACCCTGAAATGGTGGTTACGGTGTGGGGAGCTCAAAATTCTTCCCACTTTTATTCAAGATTATATGAAAAGTGGGGAGAGTTTTGAGCTCACCACACTAAAACCAGCTTTGACAATCACTGCAAAACAGTGCCCTCATTCAACCTCCCCGCCCCTGCAAAAGCTGGTCCGGAAAATGCCATTGTTGATGGTACTGAAAGCCGGTCAGAGATTAAGGAGGGCAAGGCAGGATGCACCATCCCTGTCCTGAGCCCTACAAAGATCATCCACAAGTTCAACCAGTGCTGACTTGGTGTTATAATACTGCCTGAAACCTGACTGAAAAGGCCCGTTGTTATTCAGTTGTTAAGTCGTGTCCGACTCTTCGTGACCCTATGAACCATGTCACGCCAGGCCTTCTTGTCCTTCACTGCCTCCCTGAGTTTGCTCAGTTTCATGCTCATTGCTTCAGTGATGCTATCTAACCATCTCATCCTCTGCTGTCCCCTTTTCCTTTTGCCTTCAATCTTTCTGAAAAGGCCCACATAATCCCTAAATCAGTAATTATTATTTTGGAGATAAAGACACAAAAATGGACTGTAAAACAACAATTTACAAGGAGCTTAAGAAATTTAAATTCAATTCAGGAAAATTAAAGTTGTTGCTTTTCATGTTCCTATCACTAGATGGCACAGTGATGATGTATTTATTTTTTTGCTGCAAAAAGCAAGTTACAGAAACAAGAGTTGGTAGCTATGTTAAAGAACTGTAAAAGCAGGAAGGGGAGGAGAGAATGATTGAATAGCCAAGATGCTGTGTCTGGGGTCTTAGCTTAGCCTTCCCTGGACTGTTTCGTCAGAAGCTTTCAACTCTTGCTGCTGCCACCACTGTCCTAGCAACATCTTTTGCAACTGACTGGAGTTTGAAAAATAATAATGAAGTTCAACATAAACATGTACTTGGTTACTACAAGCCCCTCTACAGTTCCAAGCAGTTTCATGTATCCTAATTATAAATATTTATAAACAGATTCCACATCTGCATTAAACCAAAGCCAAATAACTACCTTATAGCTTAGACCGATGTGTGAATCCAGCTTTAACCCATGTAGTTTAAATCAGACCAGATATTTATGGGAAGTTATTTTGAAATGTTAAATAAACCTGTAAATTTGAAATGATGTAAGCACTTGAAATATTCAACTTTATTGAATAACGAAATTTTTATAAAAGTTTCTTTTTGTAGCAAATGCCAGATCAGTTTTTGACCTCTATAAAATTTACATCATTTCTTTGTACTATGAAAAACTAAGAATCATTTGTGGAGTATCAAAATATCAATTCAAGATTCCAAAATGAGAGGAAGGAAGCATAAATTATCAGGAAAATGATAATTAGATTTTAGACTACAGCGTTAATATACATACCTTTCTTGTTGCTTTCATATTTTTTAAATGAGTTTTCAGCATTCAAGGGAGGTTGTTCATCTAGATGAACTGCCTCCATGACCGAACTATTTGAAAGGAAACAAATGTCACTTTTATGTGAGATGGGCGGCTGTATAAATATGATTGATAAATAAATAAATAAAAACAAAGAACAATGTAGGATGAAGTATTTTCAAAGAAATGATCTAGGCTTCCTAAGAGTAAATAGATTCAAATAAGTCTGCTTCTTCCTGCCTCCCCTGTATAAGTTTGGGAAATGGGATCAGTGTGCAAATGGGTGGATACACTGAACATAGACCAGTTGGTATAATATAGTTTGATCCTGGATACTTGGAAGCCCTTAGCAGATTAATGAGGCTGTTCAGCAGTGTGTAGCTTTATTTAAACGGAACTGCACTACACACTACAAAACTGTTAACACATTGGACCAGCTTTTAGTACATAATACAGTGAGACCACTGGTAAAAGAATAAGACTGCTGGGAATGCAAAATTCCTGATTTGATTTTTAGATGCTAGATTAGCTCTTCCCATCTAGAGTGTCCCAACCAGAAGACATATTCCATTATTCCCAGCGAGACACTTCTGGAGGGCTGACAATAGATTACATGGTATCTAGAACAAATACATCTCGATTTTTGGAGTAAAACAGATCCAAATATTTTACCATGGGAGAAAGAAGCCGTGTTTAGGATGAAGCCAGAAAGCCCCTGACCCCAATTATGGGCCACGCAGAATAATTTTCCAGCCGCGAGGAAAAGCTATCATTGTTTTAACTCCTTACAGTGCTGTGCTGGCCTGTTTCTCTCCTTGTTCTTCTTTCTACAACATGCGCGACCCCTCGGCTTAGTGGCGCGAAAGTGGGCTTTCCAACAGCAACGTCCCAGCCGGTTTCCCCTGCAGGATGCCGCGTCACCTGTGGCGTGGTTTTTTTACAATGCACGGCCACCAGCGGCGAAATGCAAGCCGCCTTTTCCGAGAACTTCCAATCCCTCCATTTGTACCTAGCGCCAAGCGCGCGGTTGGCAGCAGAAAATGGAAAAGGGGCTGGGCCGCGTGGAGGAGACCGGGCAGAGAGGAGGATACACGTGACAAGAGGCAAATGCTGGCTGGCTCAACCGGTGCTGTCACTCAGACGACGTCTTGTGACAGGCGGGAAATTACTTCACACGCAGAACGGCGAAACAGGAGAGGGGAAATAACACCGCCTCTCTTTCCTTCCGCGGGGCTAAGGGCGGGAAAGGGGAGGGTGGAGTCTTCCTTGTCTCAGTATTTTAAGTCTAAGCCGCGTGAAGGAGTGCAGGCGGTATTTAAGTCTAAGCCGTATGAAAGAATGCAGGTAGTGAGGGAGAGGTCGTGGGTTCAATAGTATGAACTATTGTGCCAAATTGTGCCGTATTATGCCAAAAAGTTGTGGCACTTAAAGCAAATTTTTTGGAATGGGTTGGGTTTCCTGGGTGGAGCGAAGGGAGTGGGACTTGATGCTATTATTCTTTATTAGAATTCTTGGACCCTATAATCAGCTATATTCAGTTGAAGAAAACTCACTGTTAAAAGGATGGGCCTGGAAATACTGTGCTTATCTCCAGACTGAGTTCATACATGATGGTTTGTTTTAATCATGGTTTGTTTGATATATACTGCAGTAGCCAGGTTCACACTGTTTACACAACATACTGTACTTGCCTGTTTCAAATCTTACTATATGGTTTAGTGCAGTGTTTTTCAAAGTTAGCAACCTTAAGATGGGTGGACTTCAACTCCCAGAATTCCCCAGCCAGCCTGGCTGGGCAATTTTGGGAGTTGACATCCAGCCATCTTAAAGTTGCCAAATTTGAAAAAAACACTGGTTTAGTGCAATGTGCAAACCTACTCCCAGGAATTGGGATATAGGGTGGCAGACTTTGCCTCATTAAAACATAAGTAGGCAATGTGTGGCGCCCCCCCCCGAGCTTTGGTTTAGGTCCATCCTTGTCTGCTGAAAATGAGGCAAACTGTTTGGAAATGGGGTACTGATTTCAAAAGTATACATAAAAGTCTGTCTTTTCTGTTAAGGCTTTCATCCTTTTTTGAATCTCTTGGAAGTTTCTGGTTGGTTGCTGCCAGAGGTAGAGTATTTGTTAAATTTATATTTAATGAATAAAACAGCACTAGATAAAACAGTTGTTTAAAACCAGTGCTGTAACTTCACCCTGAAGCAGGCTACAATAAAAGAATGCCTTCCCACAGATAATCACAAATTGCCTGTAGTTACATACCCTTGCATTCAATTGTTTTATCTTGTACAGTGTGGTCTCCAGTCTCTGATCTGGGAAGAAAAAGTTACAGTGGGGAAGAAGCTTTATCTTGTAGCAATCTATATAAATAATTACTGTAGGACAGCCTGGACTGTGCCCTCAGTGGCTCAGAGCTTTGTTCTCTCTGAAAACATTTCTCACTAGTAAAAATAAAAAATAATGGATTTTTAAAGTGTAAATTAAACTAGAAGGCAAGGTGCAGCCTCTGGGTCAGAGATCATCAACATTTGGGGTTGTTTGGACACATTTATAATTTTGAGAATGTTTTCTGGGCATTCTGCTGTGTTAGCTTTCCCATTCACTAAATTATTGCCTTAAGATTAGTACCAGTTTGCCATGTTCCTGACTCTCCTTATTTACCTTTTTTGGCATACTTCCAAACAAACCTCTTGGCTGAGACTTCATAATTATGATTTGCTAAAAAAAAAACTTATTGGACTGATATGGGCCTAGTAGCATTTTTAAAAATAAAGATGAGCCCTTGCAGCCTTCCAGCTTCCCATATTTTCCCCATGTGAAGCCATACAACATTCCAGTTTCTCCTATTCCTTTTTTTTTTTAATAGGTGAGGCAGAAGTCTGGTTGGACAAAAAAGGGAGGTGTCTGCAGGCATAGGTGCTACATTGAATATCTTGAACTTATATTTAAATAGGTTCTAGAGCTCATAAGCAACATCCATTCAGCTTTTCTGTCTCTCCTTCCTTAGAGTTTTCTGCTGAAACAGGGCAAAAGAAGCAAGGAAAATATGGAAGGTTACAAATGAAAGATTTCAATCTAATTCTGTGTTCGGTACAGAGTTTTTTCTAGATGAACTGCTATTACAACTATTATACAATCCCCAAGCCACCTTTTTAGGATTTTATTAATTGTTCAGATGATATTATCCTATATTTGTAATTTTGCTGCCAATCTGATTTGATAAGCCACATTGCTCTTGACAGCAGAAGGTTTCTGCACTGTGTGAAACTTCTGTTATTGACTGGATTTAAGAAGTAAAGCCACTTTGGTCCACTAATTAGAAGAAATGTGCTAGGTACTTTGGTCAAAAATCCAACAAAGTAAAGTGCCTTTTGAGGATCTGTACAGACTAGTACTGCTTGAAGCACACATTATCTAGTTTTATTTAGCACAGAGACAGTAAACAGGTGCAGTAAATAATTAGGCAATAATTACAAGAGAATATTTTGGAATATGAGTATATGGGTATGGGAACTTCTGAAATACTTCCTAGTTAGAAAGGTATTTATTTATTGTTTACATAAGATTATAGCTTCACTCTAGAGGCTCTAGGCAGTGTACAAGGCACAGTGTATATATAATAAAACAGTAACACTTTAAGCAATAACAAATGGTAATGGTGCAGATCTTCCTCTAGCTGTTTAATCACTAAAAGTCTTCCAGAAAAGCCAGATTTTAAACTTATCTCTGGAAGGTCATAAGAGGAGATGCTATTCTTGCCTCGGGGATAGGCCAGAGGTCCCCAAACTCTTCAGCTCATTGACCCATTCATGAAGTTTCAGATTGTTCATCAATCCCCAAACATTTATGATATGAAAATAATTTAATAAATACTATTTTAACTAATAGTAATAACTATTACTATTATATTATTACTATTATATATAATAGTAATAATAACAACAATAATGGATAGTCCCATCAACCCTTGGGGGTTGATATTGACCATGTTGGGGAACCCTGGGGTAGGCTCTTCCACAGGAGCCACCAAGAACACTGCCCCTCAGATACCTTCTAGTGTCATACCTCCTCAACTCTACTTCCTAATAGGACAGGCCCTTCAGCAGGCACTCCTGTTTACCCAGGTCAAGTGGTCAGAATAGATTTAGGATAGGCAATGTCTAAGGTACCAAGACCATGAGCCATATAGGAATTTATAGGTAACAACTAGCACCTTGAATTGTACTTGGAAACAATCCAGTAACCACTATAGCTCACATGGAAGTAATGTTATGTGACAATACTGTGGTTGTCCAATAAGCACACAAGCAGCTGCATTTTGCATCAATTGAAGTTTCTGGGTAGTCTTCAAGGGCAGCCTCATGTAGAGCGAATCTGAGTGCAAAGTGACAAGCAGCGATCTTCAGTGTCCTATTCTACTTAAAGTTGAAGGTGATGCATTAGCTAAAACTCAGCAAAGGCCTTTCTGGCCATGAACTTCACTAGGAGGACTCCCATTTTGCAAGTCTGCTCTTTTAGGGAGAGCACAATTCCACCAAGAACCAAGGATGGTAATACTATAGAGTCAGCTGGCTTTCGAATCAACAGCTTCTCCGTACTGCTTGTATTGATTCTGAGCCTGTTTCCATGCAAGTCCTGACAGCCTCCAGACACTGAATCAGGATTTCCATCATATGTCGCATTCAGCCTGAGGCAGAAAGGTATACCTAGGTACTATCAGCATACTGATGATGTCTTAGTGCTGGCAGAGAACCTCTTCTAGTGGCTTCATATAGATGTTAACAGGATAGGGGAGAAACCTGAGTCCTAAGGTACCCCATACTGGAGTGCCTATAGTCAACATCTCCCCTCCCACAACTCCTGATTGGACCTATTAGTTCAGGAAGGAGTGGAATAACTCCAAAAAGGTTCCTCCCACTCCAAACTCTTGTAGGCAGCTTAGAAGGATCCTGTAGTCAACGGTATCAAAGGCTATTGAGAGTTACAGCAGGACAGGATGGTTGTACTCCCACTACACATGACTTGTCACAAGTCATCAATGAAATGACCAATGTGATTTTTGTCCAGTACCCCTTTTCTTCTGTTGCTGCCCCACCACTTTTTCCACACTTTCTTCCAAAAGGGAGGTTGTATATTGGTCAATAGTTATCCAATATTGTTGGATCAAAGGCAGGCCCCTTAAGGAAGGGGCAGGCCAGTGCCTCTTTCAAGGCAGCTGGGACATCCCTCTCTACAAGGAGGCACTGACTACAAGCAAGATCTAATTCTTGAATCCCTCCCATGCTGCTTTAACTAACCAGGGGATGGGGTTGGGGGAACAGGGATCAGGTTCACAAGTGGTAGAGCTCATATCACAGAGGAATTGAGTTCCTCAGAATCCACAAATGTAAAAACCTTCCAGGAAACATTGCAAAATGTTGCCTCTGTCACCTCATCAGATCCTGCACATCTGGCTTCCAACTCAAAGCAAATGAAAATGATTTTATCCACAAAATGACTGGCCAAATGATCACACTCTGCATCTGATGGATCCTCTTGCTAATTTAAAGTTATAAGCAATCTGAAGAACAAGCAGCCTAGGCCATTATCCTATCTCTGACAATAATTAACCACATAGGATGCTGTAAACTACTTGTCCTAAAACATTACATTCCCATAACAATAATCAGGTTTATTTTTATAAATAATATTACTTATTCTGTTTCTATAGTGGGAAATGATACAGAAATGTATTTACCTTTCATTATCTGTACAGGTCAGGTCCATCATCCCCAACACTTGGGGAGCATTACTATTCCATAACTGTTGGAAATATTTTATGTAATGATTTGATGGACTCAGTTAAAATGCTAGTGGTCAAGTGATTACATCACAAAGGACATTATTTTAGCAGCAAAAAAAAAAAAAAGTTGGTGAAAGGATTACTTTCTCAACACAATTTTTTTAAAAAATTGAGATGAAAATATAGAAAAAATTGTGCTTTTTTTTACAGCACAATCATGATGATTTTGACTCCAAGTTAATAATATATATA